GAACCTCTAAGACAATTTCAATACAACTGCGGGCTCGGTGTCCCTCACGGGGCCAGCAGTTTTTGATCCACAAGTAGATGCAGGAAAAGAAGGTTTGATCAAAAGGGAGCCTAAGGAAGTGGCAATAATTATGTGTGTTGCGGGGAGAGCTGGTAAGGCTAGCAACAGAGCTTGACCACACAAGGCCCTGAGTACCTATTTTAAGCGGAATCCCTCAACTCCACTTGTTCCTCTTCTCCTTCAGTACCTCATCCAGTGCTCGAAAATTCCAACGCTTCCTCCAATCTCCTTCCTCCTTGGTGGGGTCTGGTTTAACCTTACAGCCCAGGACTATGTCATCCAGGTAGGTGGCCGTCACAAGTCAGAGTGATGCAATAAGATGGGATTTGAGAGGATGGAGCTAGGAATGAGACATCACCAGGACCGAAGAGGGGCCACAGAAACACTTCTGGTGCCCGGGATAGTGGGAGGGGGCAAAGCTCTGGCTCCCCAGGAAGAAGAGGAGGGCCCGGGAAGAAGAGGAGGGTTCGGTGCGCGTGACATCCAGTGGCCTCTCTTGCCCTGCAGATTGCTCGGGGTGGTGTCCGCCTCTGCTTGTCTGGCTTCCAGGTCCTGGACATACCTCCGCCTGCAGGGCCCTTCTGGATTCTCGGCGATGTGTTCTTAGGGTCCTACGTAGCGGTCTTCGATCGCGGGAACCTAACAGGCGGTGCCCGAGTGGGGCTCGCGCGCGCTCGCTCCCCGGGAGCAGGACCACAAGGGGGTGGGCCCGCGCGGGCGCAGTTCTCTGGTTGGCGCCCTGAGTAGGCGCATGCGCACCGAGTGGGTAGCCGAGGCCCAGCCGCTCAGTAAAAATCCGTTATTTACGTTGACCCTACCTTGGTCCCTTTTTTTTTTTTAATTTTAAGCGCACGACTTTTGGAGAGAAAAATTAGTGCTCAGCTCTCTGGAGTTGAGGAAGAAAGGAAGGAGAAAGGAATCACTCCTTTTCTCCAGCAGGGCTCCCACCGGTGCGAGGGCCTTGTACTACGAATCCCATGAAGCCCTTCGCCTATGCCGCCTATAGACAAAGGCGCCCGGCACCGCGGAGCATCACGGACCTTGTATTCCAGGCCGTGTTCTTTTGCCGGGGGCGGGCGCAGCCACAACATGCGTGGGAGGCGACAGGTCGCGACGCCAGCGACAGGTGGCAGTGGGGGGTGGTGGCTGAATCGTAAAGGGCTTTCCAACCCTTGTTTTAAGGGGTGGGGATGCGATTCCCGCAGACTTCGTCTTCTGTTCTTCCTCTCTTCCCTGGGATTCTGAGACCCCCTGGGTCCGCCATAAAGGCGGGGCTTGAAGCCCCCGGGTTGGGGGGAGCTGTGCTGTCCCTCCTCCGGCGATGATGTCATTCCCCCCCCTCCGCAGCCTCTTGCTGCCCTGAGCTGCCGGGGCTGGGTCACCCCTCCCCCAACGCCAGCCCCGGATTCCCCCATCCCCGCCCCGCCTCGACTTGGGGTGAGTACGGGGGAGGGGGAGAAGGCACAGGGTCCGGGGGGCGGTTAGACGGCCCAAATCCCAGTTTTGGAGGTGGGAGACCCGGGAGATGAGGACTCAAAAATTACAGCGGAGAGATTCTTCCTTAATAACGAGGTTTGGGGGCCAGGGTTCTTGGAGGGTCTGGGGAACCAAGGATCGTAGGCAGAGAGTCTCCATATTTTCAGCTTTAGTGCTCAGGAGACCCTCTTTCCTAGATTTAGAACTGATAGGGTTGGGGGCGGAGGAACGAAGCTGGGGTCCTAGAAATCGGGAAGCGGGAGACCCTTTCCCAATTCCAGGGTCTTGGAGAATGGGGGAGGGGAAGTTAATTAAGAGAAGGCACCGAGGATGACGGAGGCGGGAGTTTGGAGCTTTCAGGAATTTTGTGCCTGGGAGCAGGGAAAGAATAGATTGGGAAGGAGGAGGGGTGGGAAAGGTCTGAAGACCAGGACGGACATTGGCCTACACCCTACTGGTGTCTATCACCAAAAATCGAGTCCACTTCCCTCTGGTCTGTTTGCAGGGCCGGGTGTCCCATAACCGGAACCCACATTATGCCTCCAGAAGCCTACCCCATGGGTACAGAACCCAGGCTCACAAATCCCCCCAGATAACCGCCTGGGGCCTGGGGAGGGCCGTGAGGGAATGATGGCATTCAGTTTTCCCAGGGCCTGACGGAGTCTGGACTATCCTGTTACTCCTTGTCCTGGGGCCTCCTCCCCACTCCCATGGTCTCTAATCTGGAGTCTCATCCCATATTCTCCCCTATGGCAGCCCCCTCCCTCTCCTTCACACCTTCTCCCACACCTTCTGACCTCTGCAAAAACGCTGATTTGGTCACTTGATCCCGTGCCTGGCTGCTGTCAAAAGCAGAAGAGAAAAGTAGAGTTGGGGGGAGGGGAGAGGATATAAGGGAGCATGGCTGATTTAGGTTCTTATTCTAGCCCCTACTCCCACCCCTAGGACCTACCCAACCCCTGCTCCAGCCTCCACCCTGACTCCCGACTTGCCCAGAAACCTCACTCAACCCAAGCCTCAACCTAAGTCCAGTCCCTCACCTCAAGATTCACTGCTTCTGCCTGGGGATACACCAGAATTCAGGGCAGAAAGGAGTAGGAAGCTCCGATGTCTTTTCTCTGCCTTTCTGGGTCCCACTGGGGGCTTCAGGACTGCCCAAGGATACTGGATTAAGGATACTGAATTGGGGACAGTGGGGGAGCCCAGGGTCTGGGGGGTGAGGGAAACTACCTCCCTGGTCTGCAGGACAGGCCCCACTTCTGCAACTCTCTCCGCAGTGACGCAGTCTGGAGTCCTGGCCAGGATCGGGGTCAGAGGGGGTGATGGGGGGGGGTCAAAGACCAAAGGACAGCGGGACAAAGTCCCAAAGAAGTGGGGACAGAGACTCAGAAGGGGGATGAGGATATAGAGGAAAGAGACACAGGGAGCAAGGATAGAGACCTGAATAGGGGGACAGAGAGAAAAAGAAAGGGCAGAAAGAGAAAGGGCACCTACAGAGGAGGGAAAGTTGTGGAGGAGGGAAAAAAGACACTAGGAGGGAGGTTGTCGGAGAACATGAGCAAGGGGAACAGAAACGCAGATGAATGGGCAGAGACTGGGGTGGGGCGTACAGATTGGGAGAGGGGAGTGGAGGACAGAGGCACAAAGAAGAGGGACAGAGGGCTGGAGGGGACAGAGACCCGGGGAGAGGGAGACAGGGGCCTAGAGCAAGGGGGACAGCGACCCAGAGAGGGGGCAGACTGGCGAGGCGGGAGCGGGGGAGGGGGAGTGGAGAACAGAGACACAAAGAGAAGGGACAGAAACCGGGAGGGGACAGAGGCCCAGAGAGAGGCAAATCCCTGAGGAAAAGGTACAGAGACCAGGAGAAAGAGACTGGGGGTGGGGGGACAGAGACACAGTTGCGGGGAGAGGATGGGGGCAAAGACTCAGAGGGAGGGGGACACATTGAGAGAATAATGGGACAGAGACCCGGAGGGAGGGTAGAGACTTAGAAAAGAGGGGCCAGAGTCTCAGAGTGATGAAGGCAGAGACGAGGGGAAAAACACTCAGAGAAAGGGGAGAGAAAGACATCGAGAGACACAGAAACGGGAGCGGGGGTGGGTGGGTAGGCGATACGAACCAGCCGCCGCACCTGCAGAGGGAGGCGGCGGGCCAGGGAGAGTGCCGCGGGAGGAAGCCCGCAGCCCCTGACCCGCCCCCTTCGCTCCCGCAGGCACCGCCTCCTCCCGCCGCAGCCCCGGCAGCAGCCGCTGGCCCCGCCCCAGCGCCTGCGCCCTGCTACCCGGCGTCTGGCCAGCCAAGGGGGCGGGGCCGGGCACGCCCCTCAGCTAGCCCCGCCCCAACCCTCCTCTCCTCTCCCGCCAGGACTCCTGGACACCTAGCCCCGCCCCATTTCTCATTGGCGCGGCTTATTTCCTCAGCCTAGCCTAGACTTCCCGGCGCTTAGGTTTCTCCCCTCCACCGCCCTTAAGGCTCCCTCTTCACCAGTCCTCATCCATCCCTTGGTTCTCCAGTCTGCAGTCCGCTGTTGTGTAGACTTGGTCCCTTTTTCATCACCAGTTGGAAATTCTTGTATCGCCCTCTGAAGCCCCACTGACTCTTATGACTCTCTCCCAGGTTCTCTGAGCCCCAAGACTCCCCATTCCAGGTCCCACCCTTCCAACCAGCCCAGTAGCTTTGTACCCTGCAGGTCTCACCTTTCCCGTAGCGGACCCACTATCCGTTCTCTACTCTGAACCCTGCCCCACCCCCGCCTAGCCTGGTTGCTTTCAAGCCTCTTAGAACCCGGCTCCTCCCTTAAGTCTTGCCTTCCCACAGCGCCTTCAAAAGGCATTCTACCATTCGTAGACCCCACCCACCTTCCTCAGTCCCGTTCCATCCATCCTGACACTCATTCTCCCGGCCCACCCCCGTCTAACCAGGCCAAACTTGCAGCCCCTGCCCCTCCCCTTCCTTACTTCGCCCCCTTTCTTAGTCCTAGCCAGACGCTCTCAGGTTTCCAGGCTTCACTTATGTCCGCTCCTCCTCACTGGGTCGCAGTCCCTATTCCTCCTTTCAGTCCAGCCTAGTGCTATTCGCGCGAAAGTACTCCCTACACTCCATTTCCAGTTCCCGCCCCTCGTTCAGTCTCGCCCCCTCACTCTCCCAGCCCAATTAGGACTGTTTCTTTCTCAGGCCCTGCCTCTTCTTAGGGTCCGCCCTGCCGCGCGACAAAGCAAAGTTAGGGGCCCAAGCCGGATGTCTCCATCCGTCCCGCCCTACACCGGGTCCTGCTTGCCAGCTCTTTAGGTCCTTTCTCTGTCCAATCAGGACCGTCTCCCCCATGCCAGTCAGAAGTCTTTAAATAGTTTGGACGTGTCCCTTTCCTCTGCTGAACCCGCTCCTTTTTTCAGTTCAATCAGATCTCCTATCTAGTCCCACCTCCCCTGTTTTCCCGGTGCGGCACAGCCCCGCAGCGTTAGTCGCCGGTCCCGCCCCCTTAACACCTCGCTCCGCCCGCCCCTTCTCTCGGAAAGATCCAATCGGTGTGCTTCACCTGCAGCCCCGCCCCGTCCAGCTAGGCTCTGAGGAGTCCCCGACCTTCTCGCGGCCTCAGCCCCGCCCTACCTCCCCCAGACCAATCAGTTCTGTTCCTCCCCAACCGCGGCCCCGCCCCCTCCACTCGTCGCCTCCTCCACCCAATCCTGTCTGCCTCTCCCCCTGCGGCCCCGCCCCCTACGCCCCGCCCCTCCCGCCCCGCCCCCCGTCCAATGCTGAGCTCAGTCTGCGTCTCGTCCTTCCGCGGGCGCCAGGGGGCCAGCAAGCAGCAGCCGGCGCCACCGCCGCAGCCGCCCGAGTCCCCGCCGCCGCTGCCCCCGCCGCCGTCACCGCCGCCGCTGCAGCAGCAGCAGTCTGCGCAGCCCGGCCCCGCCGCGTCCTCGGCGGGCCCCCCGGCACCTCGCGGGCCCGGGGGCCGGCGCGCCGAGCCATGCCCCGGGCTGCCGGCGGCGGCCATGGGGCGGCACGGCGGCGGCGGTGGCGACAGCGGCAAGATCGTGATCAACGTGGGCGGCGTGCGCCATGAGACGTACCGCTCGACGCTGCGCACCCTGCCGGGGACGCGGCTGGCCGGCCTGACGGAGCCCGAGGCGGCGGCGCGCTTCGACTACGATCCCGGCGCTGACGAGTTCTTCTTTGACCGGCACCCGGGAGTCTTCGCCTACGTGCTCAACTACTACCGCACAGGCAAGCTGCACTGTCCGGCCGACGTGTGCGGGCCGCTTTTCGAGGAGGAGCTCGGCTTCTGGGGCATCGACGAGACCGACGTGGAGGCCTGCTGCTGGATGACCTACCGGCAGCACCGCGACGCCGAAGAGGCGCTCGACTCCTTCGAGGCTCCGGACCCAGCGGGCGCAGCCAACGCCGCCAACGCCGCCGGCGCCCACGACGCGGGCCTGGACGACGAGGCGGGTGCGGGCGGCGGCGGCTTGGACGGCGCGGGCGGCGAGCTCAAGCGCCTCTGCTTCCAGGACGCGGGCGGCGGCGCCGGGGGGCCGCCAGGGGGCGCGGGCGGCGCAGGCGGCACGTGGTGGCGCCGCTGGCAGCCCCGTGTGTGGGCGCTCTTCGAGGACCCCTACTCGTCGCGGGCCGCCAGGGTGAGCGCGCTCTCGGAGCCCCCACCCCTCCCCCATTTCCTCCAGATCCCAGCCCCTTAGGAGTGCCCATCCTAACCCTCAGAATCCCTTGGCCCGTCCCAGCCCCCCCGCCCCCGGCCTTCCTGGTCTCTGGGCCTCCCAGGCTCTTCTAGAGAAGAAGCTTCTTTCTCCAACCCCGAGTCTCCTGTACTTTTCTGAACACACACCCTCTCCTTACCATCCCCAGATCCTCAGAAGACGCTTCCGCAACCTTCAGAATCCCCCAGATCCCTCCAAACCCCACCCGGCCTCCCTAGGCTACCCAGCACTCTGAGAAACTTCTGCCCCGACTGTGAATCTCCTGGGCTTCTCTGAACAACCTCACTACCCCCTTTCCTGGACTCCTCTGAGACCCTCAGAAGAACTTTCTCCAGTCCCGAGTCTTCTGAGCCCCTGTGAATCCTTTTCACGTCTCTTGGTTACCCCTCAGATCCCTAGAGAACCCCTCTGCAGCCCTCAGTTTCTTGGACCATCCCCAGACCCTCAGAAGACCTCCCTTCTTAACCTTCAGCGTCCCAGACCCTGTGAACACTGCCCCCTCCTTTCCCTGCCCCGCTGCAGCTCCTCGGAAGCCCCTTCTCCAACCCTCAGTCCCTCCGGTTCTCCCAACACCTCCCTGATTATTTCTCCCTATGCCCCTCTCCCTGCACCTCCCCCTCTCTCCAAGTTTGAGTTTTCTGGCTATTTTTGAACCCCACTTCTGCTCTTAAAGTCTTAGAAGACTCCGCCTCAATCTCAGAGCCTCCTGGACCCCTGTGAATCCCCAAACCACTTGCTCTGGCTAGCACACTTTCCCCCTCCCCCTACTGCAACACGGAGTCTTGGGGAGCCTTCCCTCCTGGGACCCTATCCAGTCCCCTCTGTGTCTCTGTGTTCACATATCTTCCTGCATCTTCCACGCCAACTCCCATCCCAAGGACTTTCCCTATAAAGCTCCAGACTTCCCCCAAGCCTTTCACACTCCTCCTCAGTGTCTCCAGAAGAGTCTTGAGCCCCCATAATATGTCTTTCCTCTCCAGAAGCTCCCATATGCCTTCTTCTTTACCCACAGATTCTCCCAGCTTCTTCTCCCTTCCCACTCTTTATCTCTGGGGTCCCCCATCCAGAGCCTCCCAGTCCTTTTCCAAGTCAATCAACTGACTTTTCCTCCTGTTCCAGAACTTTAACGAACCTCAATCTTTGGGACTCCCTCCCCCCATTTATCTGTCCCAAAACTTCCTTCCCAAAGTAGCTTCCAATTCTTTCCACTCTGCCTTGGTATCTTTCCACTGGCCCCTACCCCAGCCCTGCTCACTCCCTCTTTCCCAAGCTCCCCGCCCTCCCACCATCCAAACCCTAGGACTGGGACCCTCTGCTCCCCTACCCCCAAAGTGAACCAGAGTGCACACACTCTAGCCTTATCTCCCTTGAAATGCCAGATTTTCCCCAAAGTTCCCTTCATCTTCCCCCCAAAACTTCCTTCAAACATCTCTAACTTCCTAGGTTAAATAGCTACCCTCCCCCTTTGTTCTCCCTTGAACATCTTCCTCCTACTAACTTCCTCCCTGTGTTAAGAGAGGGGGACAGTTCAAAATGGGGGGGATCAGAAAGGAGGGGAAAGAGGAACAACTCCGGGGCCCCCTCCTAGCCTCCCGGCGACCCAAACACCGGGAGTAACCGGTCCGCCCCCCTCCCCCCACCGTGCCGTGTCCTGGGCCGGGAAGGACGCGGAGCCGCAGTGCCGCATTCGCGCCAGGGGAGGGAGCGAAGGGGGGGGGAGCCCAGAGGCACCGCATAAAGTTTGGTCCCAGGAAGCGCTGAGTTGGCGAGATTTGGGGCTGGGGCGGGGGGAGGTGGGGAGGAGGAGGTTCCGAAGGGACTTGGCCCTAAATGCCCCCTCAGGCCTCTGAGTGGCCTCCTTCCCCATGGCCCTGGGGCGCCCTTCTCTCGTAACCCCATTGAAGGGTGCTGAGGTGAGAATAGAGGTTCGGGACAGTTACGGGGGAGGGGGACTTGTCACTCACTTACTCCACAAACGGTTTTGAGTGTCGGCTTGCCAAGTACTTTCCAGCCTACAAGTGAGAGAGCTTGACAGAGTTGGGAGCAGAGGCCAGTGCAACGTGGAGAGTACGGCCCTACCTCATCCTCGCTCCCCTCCGCGTAATTTTTCCTTTCCTTCTTACAGGGACTCCTTGCCCTCCTGCCCCTTCTGCTTTTGAACCACCTCGGGGCAAGGGGTTAAACCGGTCCCGACGCTGTCCAGCCTCTACAGCTGTGCACTGCGACGGGTTGCCCACCTTTCCTTCCTTGCCCTGGGAGGGTAGGAGTTAAAACTCCTGGCCCGCGGCCTCCTGAGGTGAAGCGGCGGCACTGCGGCTGCGCCCTCCTTGCTCTGCTCCGGCCCGGAAGGGGTTAAGACCGCTCTCAGCCGCGGCGGCTGCGCACTGCGGCGGGGGAGCTGGCCGCGGTGCTGGCCGCCGCACGCCCCGCCCCCCGGCCTGGCCGGCCCGCCCCCACTGCGGTGCCGCAGCCTGCGCCGCGCACCCGGCTCGGAGGGGGCGGAGGAGCACCGGGCATGCGCTGTGCGGCGGCCTCTGGCCTCTTAAACCACTGCGGAGAAACGAGGAGGGGGGCGGGGCAGAGAGGGCCAGCGCTGACCCCAGCCCACCCCAAGGTCCAGGGCCCTCTCTGCTCTGCGCTTCAAAGTTGAGCCTTCCCAAGCCCAGACCCCGCCCCCCAGCCCTGTGGAGGAAGGAGAGTGGCTGAGGGGCTGTGCAGGCCCCCAGCCCACCCCAAGGTCGGGGGTCCTGTCTGCAGTCGGACCCTGGGCCCCCGCTTTTCTCTGCATCCCTGATTAAAACTCAAGCTACCCAGGCCCTCCTTCCTCCTCTACCCAACTGGTTAGAGCTCCCTCTTTGCCTTAACACCCATCTCCTCCCTGCAAGGCACTAACCCCACTCTCTTCTTCTCCTCTCTGCATATTTGATAAAGTCCACTGTCACCTCCAGGGCCCAGCTCTGTCTCCTTCCTTCTCTACGATCTTGACTGCATCCCCCTCTGCTCCTCAAGGTTTTCTTCAAAATCCACACCACTGAGTGCAGGACTCTGGTCCTCCCCATCTTGAAATAACCCATATGTGCCCCACCCCCTTCTCTGCACTTTTGGCTGAAGCCTCCTCACCTCTATGGCCCTGGCTCCACCATCTCCCCTGACGCTTAGGCCCCCCACCCCCCCTTCCTCTCCAGAGCCTGAAACCCCAACGCTCCTTGCTTCTATCCTTTTCAATTTTTGCAGACTTCACCCTTCACTTCTTTTCCTATTTATGGCCCTAATACCCCTCTGTGGTTCCAGCCATTTACTGTCCTCTCTGGGTGAGGGTGACACCCAGCTTTCTCCCTTCTCTGAGGCCGGACATTGGAACCAGGGTCCTTAAAACCCTGGCTCCTCTCCGAAGGCCTCGACCTTGCCCCCAACTAACTGATGCCCACATACCCTAATAGGAGCTCAGGCTTTCTTACTGAGTTCCAGACGCTGGGCCAAGCACTGTTTCTTGAGCCAGGACTTTTGTATACCCATATGATCCTCATAATAATCTGGTAAAAAACAAAATAAAAAAAACACCGAGGTGTGGAAAGCTTAATCTCCTTGCCCAAATTAGGCACAGGAAAAGCTGGATTCAAATCCAGGTTTTCTTAACCATCTCGGGGATTCTGCCTCCCCACCCACCTTCTCCGCTTCCCCTTCCCTTGGCTCCAAGCCGAACTCCAAAGCCTCTGATACACAGAGGGTGAGTGATCTTGGTCTCACCCCACCCCAGCCCATCCCTCCCCCCAGAATCCTTGGACCCTGCTGGGGAGTCCTGAGGTGGGACACAGGGTATGGGGAAGTGGTCTGCGAGACAGAGTAAAGGACCAGAAATTGCTGTTTCCATGAAAACAGTTGCCCATCTGTTTCCACTGCTGGAGCCAGCTCCTATCCCAAGCTGGGGAGAGCTGCCTGCTCCTTTCCCTCCCTTTTTTCAGCGTTAGAGGGGACAGCAGGATGCAGGCTGTGATGGAGGCGTGGGGTTTCTGGGGGTTTTGGGGGCTGGGAAGAGGGGCCACTGGGAGGGTCTTGTGGATATGGCTGGTTGACCAGATGCCTGGGTCACCTTTTGCCCTCTCTCTCCTGCCCTGCCTGACAGTATGTGGCCTTCGCCTCCCTCTTCTTCATCCTCATCTCCATAACCACCTTCTGCCTGGAGACCCACGAAGGCTTCATCCATATCAGCAACAAGACGGTGACACAGGCCTCCCCGATCCCCGGGGCTCCACCAGAGAACATCACCAATGTGGAGGTGGAGACGGAGCCCTTCCTGACCTATGTGGAGGGCGTGTGTGTGGTCTGGTTCACCTTCGAGTTCCTCATGCGCATCACCTTCTGCCCGGACAAGGTGGAATTTCTCAAGAGCAGCCTCAACATCATCGACTGTGTGGCCATCTTGCCCTTCTATCTCGAGGTGGGACTCTCAGGCCTCAGCTCCAAGGCTGCTAAAGACGTGCTGGGCTTCCTGCGGGTTGTCCGCTTTGTCCGAATCCTTCGCATCTTCAAGCTCACGCGCCATTTTGTGGGGCTGCGCGTGCTGGGCCACACACTCCGTGCCAGCACCAACGAGTTCCTGCTGCTCATCATCTTCCTGGCGCTGGGCGTGCTCATCTTCGCTACCATGATCTACTACGCGGAGCGCATCGGCGCTGACCCCGATGACATCCTGGGCTCCAACCACACCTACTTCAAGAACATCCCCATCGGCTTCTGGTGGGCCGTGGTTACCATGACGACCCTGGGCTACGGAGACATGTACCCCAAGACGTGGTCGGGGATGCTGGTCGGGGCACTGTGTGCCCTGGCGGGGGTGCTCACCATCGCCATGCCCGTGCCCGTCATTGTCAACAACTTTGGCATGTACTATTCGCTGGCCATGGCCAAGCAGAAGCTGCCCAAGAAGAAGAACAAACACATCCCCCGCCCCCCGCAGCCCGGCTCTCCAAACTACTGCAAGCCCGACCCTCCCCCGCCACCCCCGCACCACCCCCACCACGGCAGCGGTGGCATCAGCCCCCCGCCCCCCATCACCCCACCTTCCGTGGGGGTGACTGTGGCTGGGGCCTACCCACCGGGCCCCCACACGCACCCCGGGCTGCTCAGGGGGGGAGCGGGTGGGCTCGGGATCATGGGGCTGCCTCCTCTGCCAGCCCCTGGGGAGCCTTGCCCATTGGCTCAGGAGGAAGTCATTGAGATCAACCGGGCAGGTGAGAAGGGTGCATGAGGGGTGGGTGGGGGGATCACTGGCAGAGACCCGTGGGAGGAGGCGGAGAGGTTTCGAGGGGGCAGGAGGTCACTGCCGAGGTTAAGAGAATGGGGGGGGTCACGGCAGAGGGGAGAGGGAAGAGCAAACAGCTATTGCTGAGGTCAGTGAAAAGGCACAGAAACAGATTCTGTGTGAGAGACAATTTGCGGAGAGACAGATATTCCGGGGACAGCCAAGATATTCCAGGGGACCAGGGAGGCCGAGTAATGAGCCTCCGGCGAGGGGGACTCAGACGCAGGCACAGAGTGGGTCTAACATGGGAATCGCAGGCGGGCCAGAAACCTGGCCAGGGGACAGCTGCAGCCTCTGAGTCTTCCAGCCATGACCCTGAGAAGAGCGTCTAAAAGCGACAGAAACCAAGCGATTGTCCCTGAGAGCGGGAGAGAGAGGACAGATGGAGGGAGCGGGGGGCGGCGGGCCGGGGGTCAGTGGCAGAGAGTTCAGGTTCGACTGTGGGGCCATCTTGCCCTTCTATCTCGAGGTGGGACTCTCAGGCCTCAGCTCCAAGGCTGCTGAAGATGTGCTGGGCTTCCTGCGGGTTGTCCGCTTTGTCCGAATCCTTCGCATCCCAAGAGAGGAGACGAGACTTAAAAACCCAAAGGCAGATAGAGGCCAGGAAGATAGGCCCAGAGGGCGACCGGCCACGTGACGGTGACTCGGGTCCCAGGGCCCCGTCTCTGGCTCTGAGAGCAGCCTGAGAGGGGTCTGAAAGACTCACAGAGAGGCTGCCGAGATAAAGAGGTGAAGCGAAGGAGATGAGGGAGAAGAAAGTTGACCGAGTGTTGCGCCCCCCCCCCCCCCAGAGAGTCTGCACCTCTGAGGCGATGATTGGGGGCTGCAGTCCGGAGCAGGGAGAGGCTGGTGGGCCCCACCCCCGTGACTTAAGTAGGTCAAGAAAGGGAGCTGGGCCGCTCGGCCCTCATCTTGCTCCCTCAGCCGCTGACCCAGTTTCACACCAATTAAAAATAGCTTAAGTCAGAGCCTGGGGGACCCCCACCTCCCCCTCCCTCCCCTGTCACCTTCCCAACCCTTCCCCACTGTGCCCTTTCCAGCACCCAACACCCTCCCTAACAACTCCCTCCCAGCCCCCTAGATCCCCCGGCCATCCTTCAAACCCATCCCAAGCCATGCACCCTACCAACCCAACACTGCACCCCAGTCCTGCCCTACTTAGTTCACTTCAACCAACTGCCCACCCAGCACTCTAACCCAGCCTCTTTCCCAGCACCCAGCTCGCTTCCCAACCACCCTCCAAGTGCCCAACACCCCACCCCAGTCCTGCCCTTCCCAGTACCCAACACCTGGCCCGACCACCACTTCTTACCCCTCAACACCCTTCCTCCACACCCATGCCTAACCACCCTTCTCTCTCCCTGTTGTCCTTCCCAGCACTCAACACCCTCCCCCAATGACCTGCTCCCTCAACCCACCAGGCACGCGCCCTGACACCCTGCTTCCAGTTGTGCACCCCTCCTGTCACCTCCTCGAGACCCCCTGCCCCTCAGTCATCCACTTCCGGCACCCAACATTCTCCAACACCCTCCTTGCTAATCTCACCCCCACCTTGAGTTCCCACACCTCACTCCTTTGTGTCTCTGTCTGACCCCCCGGTGCAGATCCACGCCCCAATGGGGACCCTGCTGCAGCTGCGCTCGCCCACGAGGACTGCCCAGCCATCGACCAGCCCGCCATGTCCCCAGAAGACAAGAGCCCCATCACCCCCGGGAGCCGAGGGCGCTATAGCCGGGACCGAGCCTGCTTCCTCCTCACCGACTATGCCCCTTCCCCTGATGGCTCCATCCGGAAAGGTGAGGTGCCCTCCACCGGCCCCCTGGGACCCTCCCTCTCTCTCTCTCCCTCCCTCAGGGGAGGGGGGAGAGGGAGATGGGGGAGGAGGTGCTGGACTTCCCTTCACCCATCCCCTGGCCCCAAATTCCCTTCCTCCCAGACCCCCCACCCCCAAATTTCCTCACCACTGACCCTTCACCTGTCTTTATTCCATCTCCATCTCCCCCCCCCCCCCCCCCCTGGACCCTCTGGCCTCTTCCCCCACCCCCAGCCATTGGTGCTCCCCCACTGCCCCCCCCAGACTGGCGTAAGCCAGGTCCCCCAAGCTTCTTGCCCGACCTCAACGCCAACGCTGCAGCCTGGATATCCCCCTAGCGGACGAATCCCCTCCCCCCGGGGTAAGTAGCCCCCACCCTTTGATCCCCACCTCCCTCCTGACTAACCCCTCTGAGAACATGCAGCCCCCACTGACCGAGACTCCCGTCCCCTCACTGAACAGCTCCATCCGATTAACCTGCAGCCATGACACTGACCCCACACCCACCTGCCCAGGACTAACCCCCCAGAACTAACCCAGCCCTCCTCACCATGTGCCTGACCTCCCTTCCCTGCCCTCACGACTGACCCCCCCATCCTCACCCCCATCCACATCTCTCTCCCTGCCTCCCCCCGGGTGTTGTTTTGTTTTGTTTTTATTCAATTAAGAAAACACAGTGCACACCCAGGACACTTCTGGGTGCAGGCCGGGGTGAAGAAGACTCAGTCACTCACCCAGTGGCTTGTGAACTGGCCAGCACTTACAGAGTACCCGCACGTTCCTGGCGCAGTGCTAGGCACAGGCAATCAGCAGGGAAGAAGACCATTCCCCTGCCCCCAGAAGAGCTCCCAGTTTGATGGGAGAGGCAGACACGGACCTAGAAAGTCCCTATTTGAGGTGATCTCTGGAAGTGGAGGTAGCACGGGGACGTGCAGTATGAGGAACACTCGAAACTCCCCCGGGTAGGAGGGAAGTGATGGGGAAGGCTTCCCGAAGGAACCGATGTCTGGAGTTAGCCTGAACTCAAGTGAAGAAGTGATCCCATTAGACAGTAGCTGCCAGAGAGACCAGCACAAGAAAAGCTGAGGAGACGGGACTGGCAAGTAGACAGGCAGGAAAGCCGGGCTGGGCTGAAGGTCCAGGACCTTGTTTAGGGCCCCGGGGAGGGCAGGTCAGCTCCTGGGCTGTGTGTGGATGGACTGGAGGTCAGGAGGCTGGAGGTCAGGAGGCTGGGATGAAGGCCCAGGGGGAGGATGCCACCTGGGCCCGGTTCAGGGTTGCGCACAGGGAGGGAGAGGAAGGGACAAGGTAGAGGGAGTCAGGGATCAGGGTGGGGTCGGGAGGGACAAGGCTAGGGGACTGGCAGTGGGGAGATGCGGGGGACAGAGTGGCGAGGTAGGAGATGAATCTTTCAGCAAACACAGTCTAGCATTTATCTCATGCCAGGAAGTGAACACATATTCTGCAATCTTCATAGCAACCCTAACTTAACACATAGAGCTTGCTTCCTCCATCCACCCATCCATCCACCCATCCATCCATCCATCCATCCATCCATCCATGGAGCAGCTAATTACTGAGGGCGCAGTTCCAGGCACTGGAGATTGGGCAGTGCACAAAGCAAGAATCTGCCATCGCAGAGTGTACGCGCTACAGCACAGGTTGGCACGCTTCAGCCCATGGGCCAGGTCTGCCCGCAAGCTGTTTTGTAAATAAAGCTTTATTGGAACACAGCCACTGTCGTGCTACAACAGTAGAGTGGATGAGTTGCCATGGAGAACGTGTGGCCCACAGAGCTGAAAATATTTAGGAATCGGCCCTTTGCAGGAAAAGTTTGCCCCCTCCTGATCAGAGGAAGCAGAAAATCAAATAAACGAACAAGATGCTTACTCTGGCCACTTCAGATGAGGGGGTTCTGCAAAGGCCTTTTTGAGGAGGTAACACAGAAACCTGAACGGTAAAAAGGGCCAGTGGGGCAGAAGGAACAGCAAGTGCAAAGGTCCAGGGGGTGCTGAGGTGGGATGAGCTTGGTTTGTCAAAGGAAGAGCAAGGAGGGAGGTGTGGCTGGGACTGAGTAGCTGAGGGGAGGGGTGTCAGACAGAGTACGCAGGGGAAGGAGCATGAGGGGTCTTGGTGAGAGGCTGGATTTGATCTTCAAAGTGACAGGAAGCTGCCTGAAGGCACTTGACCTATCTCTCACGTAATCCCTCAGCAACCATCTGGGGAACCTTCTTTAGAAATACAGAGATATAGCCCAAAGAGTCCCTGTCTGCAGCCTGCAGGGACACCCTTGTCTCAAGCCCCTCGTTTCACGGAAGATTCAGGGGGGCCATGAGCAACCCCGTCCACAGAGCAGACAGGGATGAGAACCCAGGCTTCCAGGCTCCTAGTCCAGGAGGGACTGTGGCTCTTCTCACTCCATCCCTCCATCCGCCCCAATTCATCCTCCATTTTCATCTCACCCCCCCTTCCCTGCTCCCACCTCACCCCTCCCCCTGCTTGCACCCAGTCCCGTTCCACCCTTTGTTCCCCCCCAGATCTAGATGGGCCCCCAGGGAATTGAGGGGCAGAGGGAGTGGGGAGGATTTGGGAATGGAAGGGAGGGTGGAGTGGGGGTGGGTGGGTGGAGGTCTCCGCTGCTCTTGCCTCTGATGCCAAAATCCATTCACTGAACTCAAATAATGGCTGGAGCTGATGGGGCTGACTGAGTTCTCTGCCCCCGGGTCCTGGATCCCTCCCCATTCCCGCACTCCCAAGCTCCTCCCTTTCTCTCTGTCCTTCCTGGGTGACCCCCCCTTCCACTACTGTCCCCCATTCCTTCTCCCAAGACCCTTCCCCCTGGCCCGCCCCTTGCCCACCCCATGACCCTTCCCTTCTTCTCACACCAACCTCCTGAGTCCAACACCTGACACCTGTTCCCCCTTCTTCCCCAACCCTCCCCCCACCTCCCTTCCTTGGTCCTCCTCCCCCCCCTCCCCCCCCCCCCCCAGCCACCCCGGAAGCTCCTTCCATATTTGATGTCTTTGGCCGCCCCCATTTCACTGCTCCCCTTCCCCCGGAAAACACCAGAGAGGAAGAAGAGATTCCGGCGTTTCTCCGTCCCCCCAACAGTGAGGCTGTGTTGGGGGGTTCCCCTTGACCACCCTCCCCCCGCCGTGACTCTGTGTATTTCTGTCCCCAGCTCTTGTCACCGCCTGAGACCTCGCGAGACCCTCGGTCCCCCCCTGCCCCTTCCCCCCAGGTTAGCAATTGGGAATGGCTGGGAGGGGGTGTCCCCAAGATGCTGGGCTTCCAACCCCCACCCCCCAGGCCCCCTCTCCTCTGGTCAAGACGCCCTTATCCAGACAGACCTCTTGGCATCGCTTAGAGAAGCACTAGAACTTCCCCCAGACACTGGCAGAACTCAGATCTTCCCAAGCTTTCAAGAAACCACACACATACTCCCCAATCTTAGACCCCTTTGGCTATCAAGACACTTTGGCTATCAAGAACCTTCCCCTTCCCATCAGAAGGTTTCCACCTCAAGACTTCATGACCCTTTAAAGATACCCCATTACGACCTTCAGGTGAGCCTTGCCCCTCTCAGACTGCTCTCTAGCCCCTCCGGGGGGCACTGCTAGCTTTTCCTCCTTGCCCCCCCCACAGCCCCATCTCCTGCCTTTCCCCCTTTCCCCACAACTAGGTCAGCCCCCACCCGAGCCCTCCCACTGGCTGCTCCCCCTACATGCATTCCACCGAGCTCCCTCCCCATGCCCGAGCTCCCTCCCCATGCCCGAGCTCCCTCCCCATGCCCGTGCTGCCCACCATCCGCCTTGCTGCCCCCCCCACCTTTTTGCCTCAGATAAGGGGGCCAACGGGGGAGGGGGAGGGGAGGTGGGGGGCGGGCTGCGGTGGGGGTGGGGTGAGGGAGGCTCGGTGGGCGCCACTCTGCCTCCTAACCCTGGGTCTCTTCCCCCCTCCCCATGTCTGAACCTTTCTCCTTGATGCTGACTGACTGTCCAATTTGTTCACCTCTCTCTCCATCTTGGTCCGCCTCCGTCCATCGCTCTGCCTCTGCCATCTGTCTTGTTATGTCTCGGTGTCTGACTGTCTTGTCTCTCATCCCCTGTGTCTCCCGCACCGTCTCTATCCCTGACCCTCTGCTTAACCTCTTTCTGTCTCTTGACTTTTCCTGTCTCTCTGTCTCTGTCTCTCTCTTTCTCCGCCTCTTATCCCTTCTGGCCGTTTCTCCCCGGCATCCCTGTTGGACCCTTTCCCTGCACCCCCATCTCCATGCTTCCTCCCGTGTTTCTGACCCCTCCCCCCCCCCAGGTTACGAGAAATCCCGCAGCCTGAGCAGCATCGCGGGCCTGAGCGGGGTGTCCCTGCGCCTGGCGCCCCTTGCCACTCCCCCTGGCTCTCCCAGGGCCGCCCGCCGCGCTCCCCCAACCCTGCCCTCCATCCTCTAGCGCTCCCCTCCCCCCCGTGGGGGGACTCGGGGGTGACAGGGAAGAAGGTCAAAGGAGCTGGGGGTGGGGGGTGGGGGAAAGGGTTTTTTTTTTTTTAAATCAAAAAGTCATTAATAATATGCAACCGAGACGACGACGCCAGCAGACACCCCCGGACCCCTCACCCCCACCTGGGCCCCCAGGATGGAGGGGGAGGAGCCAAAGTCCAGCCCCCCCCAACTCTCCACTCCCCCACCCCCAAATAAAGCCTTCTCAGGTCTCCATGAGCCATAGGAATTCCCGCTCCCATAAACTCCTGTAAATACGTCCAAATTATGCCAATTACATTTTGGGGCGCCTCTCCCCTACTCTGCATGCCTCCCTCAACCTGGACCCCGCCCCCAACTCCACCTCAGCAATAAGCCGCCAGGGGCTGCATGCCACGCGATTGAGGGAAGAGGCATTCTGGGAAGGGGGCGGGGACCTCAAGGGAGGCGGGCTGGCCTTTAAGCCACGCGAGGGTATCCTAGCCACCTACCCTTCACCCCAGGAGGGCAACCCATCACATTGATGTAAAAAATATATATATATTGGCAACAATGTGGGGGAAGGAGGAACAGTCAACTCAAGCCCAAAAAACGAGCTGAGCTCAGATGGTAGAAGCAGAGGCACAGGGCGTGTGCTGTGGACAGCTGCTCCCTCAGCCTTTAGGAGGATCCCTCTGGTGGATGTGACCCTTTCGTCCCTCCCCAGACCACCCCCCCCCAAGGGATCTGCTCGCCTCTATTCTTGCTGCATGGACTCAGACCTCCTATCTCAGAATTTCTGGGATGATCTGGCCCTAGCACACAAAATTCCCCAACACCCCCTCCAGATTACCAGGACATGAGACCTGCACCCAGAATTCCTGAGACCAACCCTGGCACCCCGCATCCCCCAAATCCCCACAGGGTCCTGGGACTTAACCTCTGCATACAGATGCTGCCCCCCAAGCCCCGCCCCCCCATTGCCTGGACTGCATCCCAGCACCTCAAATCTCCAAGACTTAACCCAGCCCTTCAGCTCACTTTCAGCCTTTGGGATGCTCCAAATCCTTCCCACACTTGGACATTTCTTGGACACCACCAAATCCTCAGGCCTACCCCCCTCCAAATATCCCCAAATCTCTGACATCAGACATCCACCTCAGGTTCTCCCGATGCTAGAATTTCCAAGATAGGCTCAACCTGTCTGCAATTCCAGGGAACCAGACCTTCCCCCCCCCGCCGCCCCCCGGGCATCCCCTTTCTTATGCCTAGCCCTGCCTCTTCCAAGAGCTCCTCCCCTTAAATGGTGCCCCAAAGGGACCCTCTTAATGGACATCAGTGTTTCCCAGAAGGTTATATTTGGACCCCCGGTGATGTGCTAAGGTTTTAGGCAGTACAAGGACACTTAATCTAAAAAGTTTTGTCTGTTATGGCATCTTGCACAGAAGCCGGTAAGTCCAGATACTGCTGCCTGGCCCAGACACCGTTTATTTAGGGTAGAGTGTTTGCACTTACAGCAGAGGCTGTGCCCCCGTCAAGGGACGCTGGAACATCAGAAGCTTGGGAAACGACAAACCTACCGGGGCTGGGACCCCAGCCCACCCTTCCCCGGCATTGCTCGTCCCGCCATGCTCGCGGGTGGAAGATCATTTCTCATATCCCATCCTGGCTCAAGGATGCGCTACCTCCCCCAGGCCCAGAGACCACACCGGTCCCAGAATCCTTAGAGGGGACCTCCCCTTTTGGAGCTGGAGGCCCACGGAATTAGCAACCTCCCTCCCTCTGCTCCCACGGCCTCAGGAACCCCCCACCCACCCGAGGGTTGGGGGGTGTCACTGAGCACGATTCTTGATGCAACGATTCCTATGCAAGGGACATTTTGAGTCCCCCCCATCCTTCCCTCGGACCCTAAACCCTGGCGAATCAGGGGTGAGGGGTGGGGCAGGTTCTGGTGGGAGCGGGGTGGGGCGAGGCAAAGGGCTAGGGGCTCCAGACACCAGGGTATTGGGGCGGGGACTGATTATATTGCCAAAGGGTTTAACTACTTAAAAAAAAAAAAAATAGCCCCCAGATTCCCCTGACCCTCACGGAAGCCGAACAGTGAGGGGAAAGGGGGTGAGGATTTTTCCGAAGGGTACAGACCTCTTCCCAACGTCTCCCCCTGCTCGCCAATCTGCCACACGTACCCAGCTTTTTAGTTCAGCTTTTAAAAATAATCACAATCATAAACCTCTACAGAACGTGACTCACGTCCTTCACCACCGCCCCCATCCCCCAAGTCAACAGTGTGGGATTCGGGGAGGAAGAGAGAGCTAAAGGGACAACTTCCAAGTCCCGCTCCCCTTTTCTCCCCGGCCGCCAGGGTGCCTGCAACTACACGCATGCGCTGCATGACGCGCTCCCCACACGCATGTCGCGCCCCTCCTGCGCTCCGGGAACGCACGGACACGGGGCGGGGGGCGGGGCGATTGGGGAGGAACGAACGGCGGGGGTCTTCCTGAGTTCAGCGGCTCCTCCTCCCCATCACACACACAGCAATAAGATTCTCTCACTCAAATGTGGGCGGGGCGGGCCTGGCCTGTCGAAGTGGGAGGTGGGAGGAGTGGCGAGGGGGCGCTCTCAGGGATGGGGGCGGGTGTCCGGAGTCAGTGTGGGGAGGGGAGGTCTGCAAATCGTCCAACTCTGGTGCTAATGGCGGGTCTTCTCAGCCCACCCCCAGGGCAGGGAGGGAGGGGTCGGTATGGCCCCTCTCCCAAGTCTCCCCCACGCCCACCCTGGGTGCATGAACCGCCCAATGCAGAAGCTGCCGCATGTCACCTGCCCTCCCCAAAGAAAAAGTGTCATGCCCCCTTCCCCCCCACCCTCTCACTTCCCACCAAAATAAAAGTTTCCTTTTCATTTAGAAGTTGCATCCTGTTTGCTGGGAAGGTCTCCGGATCTGGGGCGGGGTGGGAGTTTTGGGAGCAGAGGCGTTGGGTCTTCAAGAACAGGGGTCATATTAAATGAGCAAGGGTGTGAACTTTAGGGGGTCCAGACATCCCCTTGATCGCCGGCTCTCACCTTGTGACTTTTCGGGGGGTTGGGGGGGAAGAAGTGACTGCCTCAGTTTCCCTGATGGTAAAAATGGGGATCCACACCCCTAACTTGAAACTGTGAGGGCACCTGGTAATAGGAGTTCTGAGGTGAGGGTGACAACCCCAGAGGAGGAGTGGAGCTAGGTCTACAGTAAGAGGTTGGGGGCCGAGGGTCACATGCTCCATATCGCCCACTCTGAAGCCAGACTGTGTGGGTTCAACTTCTTGGTAGCTGTGTGTTCTTGGGCAAGTCTCTCAACCTCTCGGGCTTGTTTCTACCACTCTAACAGGGCAGGAGGGGGTGACCTATTCATTCAGCAAATATATGAATTCCAACTAAATGCCAGGCACTATTCTAGGTGCTGGAAAGCAATGGAATCCCTACCTCTAGGGGTTGTGTTGAAGGGTGAGACGAGTGTCCCACGTTTAGCCCATGTTCAGTTAAACAAAGGATCACTACTCTACAGGTGGCTCAACAGTCACTCTGTCACTGTTTTGCAAAGACATGAGGGTCAGCCAGAGTGCCGCATCCCTTCTGCCACTTACTGGGAGGCTTGGAGCAAGGGACAGCACAGCTCAGTCTGTTTCCCCATCTGTATAATGGAGGGAATACCTGGGAAGGAGGCTGAAATGAGTTTTTCCACATTAAATACCGGTACCCCGGAGGCTCCCAACACTGGTCGGCTGTGATTCGAACCAGCAGACTGCCCCACCTGCTGCCCCATCAGAGATCCCTGCGCAGGAACACACTACAGACCCATGGAGGTCCGGCTGGGGTTGGAGTTTATTTCTGCGAGAGCCTAGACGCTGGGAGGATATGGGGGCCTCCTCCAGCCCCCGCAGGAAAATCCAACCGAATTGTGATCACACAAGAGCAACCAGAAAGGAGGGCAGAGCATGGGGGGGGCGGTGAGGAGAGAGGGGTCCCCTTATCCTGCCCCTCTGCAAGGGTCAAAGGCTGGTGGAGACCTGGGGCTCAGGCTGTTGTCGATCAGAAGTTCAGGGGTCAGTGGCTAAGTGGAGAGAGAGGAAGAGAGGGAGAGGGGTAAGGGAATGGGAACCCTAGCTTCGGAGGGCAGGGGAGCCATGCTCCTTTGCTAATAAAGATCATTAACAATTAAGGATAGAGGGAAGCCCTTTGGGACCACAGCTTGCCAACTACACTTGGATCTCCTTCCCAGCGAGAGCCCCAGTCCTCGTCTCCCTGCTCGTCTGCTCCTCTGTGTTTAGGGGTTCACAGGAGGTCTCAGCACCCCCGCCCCCCCACCATGGGGTTGGTAAGTGCTGTAGTGCCAGAGGGTGGCACCATTTCCAAAGTGCAAGAAGCCGGAGGGAGGGTTCCTGGGACTGGAGCATCGAGGGGCCAGGGAGGGAGGGGCCATGGCTGGGGACAGGATGGTGTCACTGGGGCTGGGACACCGGCGGCCCATCAGGCTCCGGGGGTGGCGGCCCAGCCCCAGGCTCCGCCTCCTCGGCCTCCTCTTCCGAGACCACGTTCTCCTCCAGTCGGAAGACCTGGCGCACTGTGCGGGTGGTGAAGGTGAGGGGGCCGCGCCTGCAGGGAGAAGGGAAGACCAAGAGACGGAGGTTAAAGGGGGGGCGGGCAGAGAGGGCTGGGGGGCGGGGCCTATGGAGCAAGGGTGCGCATGCACAGCTGGCCGTACCGGAGCCGGTTCCTCAGCGTGTTCAACTCGCGGTTCATGGACTCCGAGGCCTCTGTGACATCTTCCAGCTCGTGCTGCAGCCTCCGGCGGACTGACTGAGCCCGGGACGCCTCCTCCTCAGCTTCTTCCAGCTGCCGCTTCAGCTGCTTCACCCGAAGGTTGCCCTTCTCCAGCTTGGTGGGAGCAGAGGGCTGGGTTGAGTCTCCAGGTGCCATCCTCGCCCACTCCCTTGGCCCCCCAGAGCCCCATCCCTCCTGCCCCACACCCCACACCCTGTGCCTTGCCTTCTGTTCATGCTTTGTTCTAGATCCTCTTGCCAGCCTCCATCCCAGCTTCAAATGTGAGGCTGTCCCCGACTTGGTCTTTCTATGCCCAGAGCTGACCCCCTCTCTCCTCTGCTCAAAGCCCTCCCATGGCTCCCTAGTGGCACTGGGACAAGGTCCCAGCCCCTCAGTCTGGCGTTCCAGGCCCTGCAGGGTCTTCTTCCCATAAACCCATTGGCCAGACCATCTTCATCAAGACCCTCCCCAAACCCTGCCATCTCTGTCTCCAGGGAGGGGACACACGTGATCTGCCTCCCACCAACCCCTCTGGCCTCATTTCTTATCACTCAAACTTCCTTCCCCATTCTTCTCTCCAGCCACACTGCTCTGCTTTTTGCTCTAAACTCACCAGACTTATTTCCACACCCCAGGGCCTTTGCACCTGCTGCTCCCTCTGCCTGGCTCTTTCTCTCCCCTCAGTTCTCAATTCATATGTCACCTCCTTAGAGAGGTCTTCCTAACCCCACTCCCCCACCCCCAATCTAGGGAGTCTTCCCTAATCCTCCACATCTCTCTTCATTCTCCTGTTCCTTCAGAGCCCCTGTCACAATCTGTCCTCATCTTTCCTTGTTTATAAGTTTGTGTCTTCCTTTTCCTATGCTACAAATGTGAGCTCCGTGAACAGGGGGACCTTCTCTGTCTTGTTCACAGCCGTATCTCCAATGCCAAATACAGTACTGGGTGCCCGATAATTGTGGAATGCAGGGCGAATAAGCCACAGCTGAGCTTTTAAGGGCACGGTGACTCTATCTATAGTCAGAGAGACTTGGAATCTGATGCAGGCTCTGTCTCTCCTAACCATGTGACTTTGGTACAAACTGTCCCTTTTTAAAGTTTCCCGTTTTCCCACCTGTGCATTGGGGCTGGTGAAAGAATGCAGACACGTTTTTGTTTTTGTTTTTAAACCACATGGTACAGTACTTGGGGGCACAGTTGCTGCTCAATAAATAATTAAGAGCACAGACTCTGCCTCCAGAGTCCTGGGGTTTGAACCCAGACTCCATCTCTTATGAGCTAAGTAATTTGAACAAGTTACTTCACCTTTCTGTGTCTCATTTTTCTCACCTGAATAAGAGGGAAAAGGATAGTACCTCCCTTATAGGGTTCTGATAAGAACTAAATATACTACACATTACATCTTTCACACAGTGCCTGGCACATAGAAGGCATTCCGTAAACATTACACGTTGTGATTTTAGCCCCGGCCCAGCCTCTGGTGAGGGTTTTTCTTCCTTCTCTCTAGCTGTCTCAGCTCCCCACCAGGACCTATCCTAGATTCCACAATCTACAGATCGCAAAGTCACTGATTCCAGCTCTCTGCTGATGTACCAAGCCCCCGGATGGTGGCCGCACGTGGCCTCTCGCGATGGGAACTCATGGCCTACAAAGATAGCATGGAGACCATCCCCCACACTGCTCCCTAGAGACGTCAGCTGCTCACCTGGTCCCGGAGCTGGTCAGCCACCCTCCGCTCCTCCTCCACCTGGAGCACCACTTCCTTAAGGCGCTTCTCGGCCCTGCGCACCAGCTTGCCGGAGAGGATGCGCTCCCTGGAGAGGGGCGTGAAGCAGACAATCAGGAGAGGTGCTTACGTAGGGTTCTGTCCCCTCAGCCTTGTCCAGTGGCTGCTGTCCTGTTTTCGGAGTGGCCTCTTCCCTCTTTCCCAACCCCAAGTAGCTCCCATAGTCTACTCAGGTCAGACATGGCTCCCAGGCTCCCGACTCCAGGGCTTCTAGTCCTTGACTTGTATCAAGATGCCTGATGTTCCTGAAAGTGTCTCCATGTCTGTACCAGTTCTCCATACCCCACTGTGCACCCCTAGTCCTCCTCTCAGGGAACTGACTCACTGACCACCAGTCCCCAGGTCAGATATGGGGCATTATCCTCGCCCGGCCTGTCCCATTGCCCCCTGAACTCTGTCCTGTCCCCTCCTCTCTGTCCTCCAGCCTGAGCCCCTAGCTCAAGCCTGTGCTCTCCCACCTGACCTGGCCTGTCCCTTTTCTCTCAACTCCCTTCCCCCACTGTCCCGACGTGTGTGGGGGACACTCTGGAAGCCCAGAGCTCCCCCCTCAGCCACCCCAGCTCCTTCTCCCCTCTCACCCACACACGCTTTCTCTGGACAAGCTCATCTGCACCCCAGGTCTCCACACCCATCAGCAGCCTGCTAAATCTGCTAAATCTGTCTCCTGGGCTCCAGCCTGGCTCGGCCCCCAGCCTCGGCAGTCCACCAGACCCCGACACCCCTCACATTCCCCGCCGGGCTCAGCACCTTCTCCCCAACCTGCTCCTCCTCCCCTGTGCTCCACCTAGATCTGCCGGTCAGACACCGGAGCCATCCTCACCTCCTGTCCCCTCAAAGCCTTTCCCTCCCCTCTCTCAGATTTCCCCATCCGTGGTCCTGGCTCATCTGCCCTCTCCTGCAAGGACCATCACACCAGGGGTGAAGTCCATGTGATGGGGCCCCTAGCGATGGGCGGTGCTCGGCAGCCTCAGGTGTGCTGAGAGGCAGGCACGGGCCGGGGTAAGTGGGAGGGTTTGAGCCGTGGAAAGGGAGGTGGCGGGGGAGGCTCCTTCAGCTACAGATCCCCTAGCCACTCCTTGCTCCCAGGGTGACTTTGAGCAGGTCATGAATACCTTCTGAGCCTCAGTTTCTCCATCTGTATAACAGGGGAGGAGGAGCTCAGACTGGTGTATCCATCCACCTCTGGAAGGTCTCCTCAGAGACCTCAAACTGCATCTCCCATGAACCCCTGGGCCCCTGGCCAGGCCCTGGGATGAGAACACCTTCTTTCATGACCATCTGGGGCTGGTTCCCATTGCCTGTCCCTGAGACCTCTCATGCTCATCATGCTCCCCAGTGAACTCAGCTTGTTTCCCCAGTATTCCCACAGTCACCAGGACTTAACCCCTAACACTGTCCTCTTCCCCCATACCCACAACAGCCTATCAGCCCCCAGCTCCATCCCTCCCGCCCCTGACTCTTTTTCATCCCCTCACACCCCAGCCCAGCTTAGGCCTCATCTCCTGCCACCTGGACCAGCACCAAGCCTCCTCCCTGGCCTCCCAGCTCCCAGTCTCTGTCCTCTAGTCTGCTCCCAACTTGACCCCCAGGGAGACTTTCTACAGCCAGCACTGGCCCTGCCCCTCCCCAGCTCACAGCCCCGAATGGTTTCCCATCTTCCCAGGACAGAGTTCCTCAGCCTGGCGTTCAAGCCTCTCACCTCCCCATCTCTCTCCTGAGTCACAGGCTCCCAGGACCAGTCACCCTTCTCCAAATGCCCTGATGTCTCCCACATGTGTCCTCAAGGCTGCTGCTCTGCCAGGGACAGAAATGGCCTCAATTCTCACCTCCTCCTGTATCCACAGCCTTTGCAATAGGATTTTGCAGCTTCTTGCACCAAGAGACAGAATCTATTTCATCATTCCTTTAAATCTGAGCTGGCCACACGACTTGCTTTAGTGACAGGAGGATGCAGCAGAAGTGACATTGTACCAGTTCCAAGTCTAGGCCCCAAGAAGTCTTTAACACTTTCCCTCACTCTTGGAACCTGGACTCTGCCATGTGAACAATCCTGGGCCAGTCTGGAGCAGAGACTAGTTAGCCTCAGTGTCCCAGGCAAGACCTTAAGCAAATGAGAGCCCAGCCAAGATCAGCAAATCCATCTAGCTCACTCGGCTACCGATGCATGAATGAAGCCCCCACGCTCAGATCAGCAGAACCCATCAGCCAGCCAAAGACTCATGAGCAGTAAGAAATGGTTGTGGTTTTAAGCCATTAAAGTTTAGGCTTGTTTGTTATGCAGCTAGAGCTAAACTGCTACATTACTGTTTGGAGATTTATTTACTTTAGAGAGAGACTGTGTGGGAGCAGGAAGGAGCAGAGGGAGAGGGATTAGCAGACTCCACACTGAGTATGGAGCCTGACACGGGGCTCAATTCCGTAACTCTGAGATCATGACCCAAGCCAAAGCCGAGAGTCAGATGCTCAACTGACTGAGCCACCCAGGCGCCCCTACATTACTGTTTAAATCATAGTCTTCATGGGAGTGCAGTTACTTGCAGCCCAAAGCATCCTAAATAATAGAGGAAATCAGCAATCATTAATATTATGATGCCTTTTGGATGTTTCTAAACCAGGTGCTTATAACACAGCTCCCCTTCATCTCCCTGACCAGAATGTGGGGATCACCCTCCAGCTGTGCCCTCCTCTAACACCCACCTGCTCTCCTGCTCCAGCTGCTCCTCAGCCTGGGCCAGCTTAGACTCAAGGGCGGCAATGATCATCTTCTGGCGGGCCCGGGCCCCAGCGTCCTCCTCACCCAGGCGCCCCCGGAGCTCCTGTATCTGCCGCTCCAGCTGCTGTCGCCCGCTCTCTGCCTTGGCCGAGAAACTTCGCTCAGCTGACAGCTCTGTAGTCAGTGATTCCACCTGTAGCAGTGGGAAAAGCAGAACCATCATGGGGGAGTCTCAGAGGGAAGACAGTAGGTAAATTCAGGCACCTCCCACAATTGAGTTGACAATGGTTAAGTGCAGAGCACAGAGCCTGGTACATACTAAATACTCAATAAATGTCAGCATGTATTTGTCCTGATTGGCTTAGCAGCCAACAGCAGTGCCAGCCCCAGGTTTTAACCTTTCCAACAGCTTTCTGCTATTTTAATAAGTCCACAAGATTATCACAAACTTGTTTAAATGCTATAAATTCTACCTCTGTGAATGAGTCCATTCGAAGGGTTACCACACTTCTGTTTGCATTGGGATCATCTGGGGAGCTTGTGAAAAAGATGCAGACCGCGGGGTCCCATCCCCCAGAAATTCTGCTTCCAGCTGATCTGGGGTCGGGGGAGGTCCATGAATCCGTATTTTCAACAACCACCTCAGGTGGTTCTGATATGGGTGACGTGCGGGATCATTTTAAGAAATGCCAGCTCAACAGACAGTAACTACTACATTGAGAATGTGTAAACAAGCCCCTAATAATAGTTCCTGTTTATTTACTCAGCTCATACTCCGAGTGAGGTCCTGCGCCGGAGCTAAGGAAGTGAGTCACATCCAGTCTGATTCATACTTTATTACACCGTGCCCTCACAGGAACACATCGGCATGGTGATTAGCATATGCTCTTTTTTAAAAAAAAAAAAAAACTTTTTATTGGAAAATGAAACTGTAATACAGAAAGTCAGAAACTGATCAAGTCTATGACGTCAGGAGTTAACAAAAGGCAAACACCACTGTCGCTCCCACCCAGGTGAAGAAATAGAACGTTGCCATTCCAGAAGGCCCTGCATGTCACCACCCTAATATCAACCCCTACCTTCCCCACAAAACAGCACACCGCCCTGACTTTCATGGTAATCACTTCTTAAGGCCTAGATCCTGTAATTGAATCTTGCCCATTTGAAAACTTTTGTGTATGTTTCTTTAAAAAAAGAAAAAACAAAAAAAAAACAACCGGGCGCCTGGGTGGCTCAGTCGTTAAGCGTCTGCCTTCGGCTCAGGTCATGATCCCAGGGTTCTGGGATCGAGTCCCACATCGGGCTCCCTGCTCGTCAGGAAGGCTGATTCTCCCTCTCCCACTCCCCCTGCTTGTGTTCCTGCTCTCGCTATCTCTCTCTGTGTCAAATAAATAAATAAAATCCTTAAAAAAAAAACAACCAATGAATACACTTTATTTTTTTTTTTAAGTAGGTTCCATGCCTGGTTTGGAGCTTGAACTCACAACCCTGATCAAGACCTGAGCTGAGGTCAAGAGTCGGACGCTTACCTGGCTGAGCCACCCAGGAGCTCCTAAGTTGCTATTGTTTTAAAGCTACCTGGTTTGGGTACTTTGTCATGGCTGCCCTAGGAAACTAATGTAGTGACTAATGAATATGGAAAGAAAATCACTGTGAACTCATGGATTTAAACAGACTGGATAGATTTAAAGCAGTTGTGATTATTATTCTTGTAGAAGCTCCAATTGCTCCATTTGGGGCCAACAGGAGACTCTCCTGGTTGATGTCTAGGTGCTTTTTAACATAAGTATGCCAGCTCCTGGGGCGCCTGGTGGCTCAGTTGGTTAAGCGTCTACCTTCGGCTCAAGTCATGATCCCAGAGTCCTGGGATCAAGTCCTGCATCGGGTTCCCTGCTCAGCGGGGAGCCTGCTTCTCCCTCTTCCTCTGCTGCTCCCCCTGCTTGTGCTCTTTCTCAAATAAATAAAATCTAAAAAAAAAAAAAAATGTGTGCTAGCTTCCTTGATAACTGGTATGTTGTGGACTCAATGCTTGTATCCCCCCCAAATTCCTACGTTGAAGCCTTAAGCCCCAATGTGGTGGGATCTTGTGATGGGGCCTTTGGAGGCAATTAGGGTTAGATGAGGCCATGAGGGTGGGACCCCCATGATGGCATCAGCGCCTTTATAAGGAGCTTCAAGAGAAAGCACTCTCTCCCTGCACATGCACCCACATGGTGGCTGCTTCCAAGTCACGAAAGAGGCCTCAGAATAAAATCTACCTCATTGGCACCTTGATCTTGGACTCCCAGCCTCCAGAACTGTGAGAAATAAATGTCTGTTGTGTGAGGCACCTGCCCTCCACCCCCCCCCCCCCCCCCCGCCGATTCCAGGGTATTTTGTTATGGCAGCCTGAGCAGACCAAGGCATGGTATGACCAGAGGTTCCAGGCTCTTCTTGTTCATTTCCTGTTTTAGATCTGCAATCAGCCGTTTGTAAAGAAGTTGCAGTTTCTTTCAGCAGAACATGGCATTTCTGGACCACAAACTTGGGTACCAGGGATGCTCATGGCTACTGGACTGGTTATTGTTCTCAGGCCTTCTGGACAGAGATAGGATGGCTCTCTACAAAATACCTCACAAGTTCATGTGAACACGCCCAAGTCCAATTCAGAACCACAGGGTTTTGTTCGGTTTTAATTTAGCCTCTCCTCATGACACATCTACATTTAGGTGCTTACATGCTTACAGACGCGGGTGGCAACAGAATGCGGACGTGCCATCTTTACTCATTTACTTTATTCCACGTTACACGTGTGATGGTCTCAGAAACACACCGCAAATACTGTCACTACCAATATAATTACTCAATCCAGTAATACAATTTTTTTTTTTACATATTTGCCCATTCTCTTAATTTAAAAATAGTTGCACTACACACAACTGAGCAGACAGCTGGTACCTTTCTTACTCCTTTTCAGCCCTCACTGAGTCTTAGAACAACGAGCAAACCTCACACTCATTACGCCCTCACGCTGGTGTCTCTCTAATGATTCCTTCTGATCGATCATCTGAACCTGGTTCTCCGGGGTGGTGGCTCTCAGAGGTGGCATGCCTCAGAACCTGGAAGGCTTGTTAAAACAGATTGCCAGGCCCCACCTCTGGCATTCCTCACTCACTTGGGTTTGGCTGAGGCCCTCAAACTTCCATTTCCAGCAAGTTCTCAGGTGATGCTGATGCTGCCGGCCTTGGGGCCACTTTGAGAACCACCGGTCTCATAGATTCCTCAGGAATCACTTGTGGGAACACGGCCCCAAGGAAGTCTTGCTGGGTGCAAAATCCATGGCTCGTATCTTTCTCTGAGAATCTTAACTATAACCTTCCATTTTCTTGCAGCATGAAATCTTGCTCTCAAAAATCTGATGACAATCTAATTTTCTTTTCCTTGCAGATCATGTGCTCATTTTTCCCTAGATGGCTAAGGATACCACCCCCTTATTTGTGCAATAGTTTCATTAGCATCTGTCTTAGTATCAAGTTTTTGGGTTTTTTTAAAGATTTTATTTATTTATTTGAAAGAGAAAGTGAGAGAGAGAGAGAGAAGAAGCAGGGGCAGAGGGAGAGGAAGAAGAAGACTCCCCGTTGAGCAGGGAGCCTGACGTGGGGCCTGATCCCAGGACCCCAGGATCATGGACCTGAGCCAAAGGCAGATGCTTAACTGACTGAGCCACCCAGGCGCCCATTGGTATTTTTTTTTTTTTTTAGTTTTTTATTTTTTCTTTTTTGTGTTTTTTTTGTTGTTGTTCGTTTTTAAAGATTTTATTTATTTATGTGTCAGAGAGAGAGAGAGCCACAAGCAGGGGGAGCGGCAGGCAGAGGGAGAAGCAGGCTCCCGGCTGACCAAGAAGCCCAATGCAGGACTTGATCCCAGGACCTGGGATCATCATCTGAGCCGAAGGCAGCCGCTTAACCAACTGAGCCAGCCAGGTGTCCCAATTGGTTTAAGTTTTGATAGGTCAATATCCTTGGGTTCACAGTGTGCTCTTCCAGTATGTAGCTTCCAACTGTATTATTTCAGGAAAGTTCTTGCATTATGCTCTCAGGTTATTTGCTCTGTCCTCCTGCCTGGGTCTTCTTCTTTGGGGACTCCCTTTACTGTATGTTGGATCTTCTTAGCCAGTCTTCAATATCTGCTATTTTTTTGTAAATCCCTTTTTGTGTCTTTTTAAGTTTCATTTTCATTTTTTTAAAGATTTATTTACTTTAGAGAGAGAGAGAAGGTGGGACGGGCAGAGGGAGAGGGAGAGAAAGTCCCAAGGAGACTCTGCAGTGAGTGCAGAGCCTAAGGTTGGGCTTCATCCTAGGACCCTGGGATCATGACCTGAGCCGAAGTCAGATGCTCTGCCCCCGTTTTGATTTTTTTTAAAGACTTATTTATCTTACTTTAGAGAGAGAGCACATGTGTGCGCACATACATGAGCAGGGGGGAGGGGCAGAGGGAAAGAAGCAGACTCCCTGCTGAGTACGGACCCAACTCAGGGGCTCGATCCCAGGAGCCCGAGATCATGACCTGAGCTGAAACCTACAGTCAGATGCCTAACTGACTGAGCCACCCAGGCACACTGCCCCACTCCCATTTTGATTTTTAAAGACATTCTCCTTTTCACTAACAGCCAAGGATGCAGGTTCGGTTAAGTCCCATCATTCCGTGTAGAGCTGTAGGATCCTGTGCTCCCTTCACTAGAGCATGTATTGGCTTATTTACCTCATTTCTAATGAGCACCCGGCACTGTTTTAGGTTCTGGAGATAGAGTAGTCATCACAGTTAAGACAGAGGCTCTAGGGCTCCTGGGTGGCTCATTCATTAAGCGTCTGCCTTCGGCTCAGGTCATGATCCCAGGGTCCTGGGATCGAGTCCCGCATCGGGCTCCCTGCTCAGCGGGGAGCCTGCTTCTCCCTCTGCTTCTCTCTCTCTCTGTCTCTCATGAATAAATAAATAAAATCTTTAAAAAAAAAAAAAAAAAGACAGAGGCTCTACTCTTGAGGTGCTTACATTCTTTTTGTCGTTGTTGTTTAAAGTAGGCTCCACACCCAGCACGGAGCCCAACGCAGAGCTTGAACTCACCACCCTGATATCGAGACTGAGCCAAGATCAAGAGTCAGATGCTTAACCAACTAAGCCAATCAGGCACCCCTCAAGGGGCTTACCTTCTGTTGGGGAGATGGATAGCAGACAAACAGGTAAATATATATTATAGTTCCAGGTAGCAGTAAGTGACATGAAGGAGATTAAAGCAGAGACAATGGAAGGGAATTATGTGGGAGAGTGTGACTGTTTCACACAGGGTGGTCAGGGAAGGCTCTTCTGAGGGAATGAGACATGGGATGGTCTGGGATAAGAGCTTTCTCCCAGGAGGAGGGAACAGCAAGTGCAAAGGCCCTGAGGTAGGAATAAACTTGGCAGAGTCAAGGAATAGTGAGAAGGCTGGTGTGGCTGCAGCAGAGTCAACCAGGGATAAAGAAGGGTTAGAGATAAGGTCTGAGTTAGCCAGGGGCCAGAGTGTAGGGCCTTGTATATGACTGGGCTTTCACTCTGAGTGAGATCATCATTCTGGAGTATGACTGCCTCTCCTACTAGTCTAGGTGCTCCTCAAGGGCTGAGCTGGGGTCTTATTCTTCTCTGCATCCCAAGCAGTGTCAGGGCATGGCTCCCGAAAGGCCTCAAAACATGTCTTTAAAAATTAATGAGGGGCACGTGGGTGGCTCAGTCAGTTAAGCATCCGACTCTTGATTTCGGCTCAGGTCATGATCTCAGGGTCGTGGAGGTCATGGACTCCATGCCCAGCGTGGAGTCTGCTTGAGATGCTCTCTCCCTCTCCCTCTGCCCCTCCCCACCACCCCCCCTCACACATTCTCTCTCTCAAATAAAAAAAAAATTAATGAATTAGTGGAGACATAGGTCTCTCTTTGGAAATCCTAGCACTCCACTGCCTGCCTGGCAAACTCTTAACTTCCTTCAAGATCTTTTAAGACATTTCCTCCACCAGGAAGTCTTCCCTGATAGCACCTAGCCTCCAGGCTGGGTCAGTAGTCTCCTCTAGGTTCTCACAGTGTCTTATGCTTCCTCCATTTTCATTTGTACTTCTGTATTGAGATAGTCAGTCTCCTCCATCAGACTAGGATGTCCTTAAAGGCAGACACCTGGAATGATCCATCGCCAGGTCCCTTGCACCACCGAGAATAGGACCTGAGCCTCCAGAAGCCTTGGACAGTATTTATAAATAAATATACAAATGAAAATATGCTTTTCTCTGTCTAGCTCCTACTTATGCCTTAAAACCCCAGCCAAATGTCCCTTCTTCCACAGACCTCCTTATGATTCTTGCAGTGAGTTCTCGCCCTCCTTCCCCTACTCTCTCTCTATCTCTGTCCATCTGTCTGTCTGTCTGTCTGCTGGGCCCAAGATACTTCTATTATCACACATGCCACCCAACCCATAGACACTGTAGTTCCATGTCTATGTTCCCAGGGAACTCTGCAGGACAGAGACCCCACATCATCCATCTCTGGATCCAGTCCTCGAGAAGCCTCAGAAATACAAATGAATGAATGCATCAGAGAGAACTCCTATTCAACCATTAAAACCCAACCCGGACATTCCCTTCTCCTTTATCTGTTGAATAAAAGGACTGAAGATTACGGTCCCAGGTCAGTGAGGACCCAGGCCATCCGGGGGGACAGGGCTGTGCTCACCTGCAGGAGCAACTTGCGGTAGCGATCATTGAGTAGCTCTGAGTTGCTCTGCTCCTCCTCCAGCTCCTCTTCCATTTGCCCCAGGCGTCCCTCCAGCTGCCGCTTCTCCTCCAGAATGGCTGCCCTAAGGAGAACGGGAACAGGGGGAGGTGAGAGGGTGCGAGGGCCAGGGAGGGTGCCCTGCCCCACATTACGATGAGCCACTCACTTGCTAAGGCTGCCATTGGCCAACTCGTCTGCCATCTCGTCCCGCTCCTGCTGGATTTGCCGCCGGGCACGATCAGAGGCGGCCAGTTCCTGTGATGGCAGAGAAGGCTGGTGGTCAGCAGTGATGGGGTGAGGCTATCTGGGCATCGGCCTCCCTGCTCCTCACACCTCAAGTCTCTTGGCCTTGTCTTCAGTGCACACGACCTTCCATCCCTGGACTGCCTTGGAATGAACTTCAATCTACAGGCAGATGTCTCCTAAATCGGTCTCTCCAGAGCCCCTGACTCATGTCCATCCCCAGGCCCCCCCCCTCAGCAGGGCCTCACTGAGCTCAGCATCTCCTTTCTACCCTGCTCCTCGAAGTCCCCCCAGTCACTGGGCCTGACCCCCAGGTCTCTCCTTACTTCCCCTGCCCCCTTACGACCCACAGCCCTGTCCATGCTGACCCTTTACTTTCTCCGCCTTGTCTCCTCCCTGCGCCCCCACGGTCCCAGCTCAGGCCTTGTCCTCTCTCCTCAGCCTTCCTGACTCTAATCTCCCCCTGCTCTACTCAGAACCCTCCCAGGGCTCCCTAGTACCCTCAAGTCCAGTCTTTTGGCCCCGACCCCCAACCCCCTCCAATCCCCACAGGCCCGCCCCCCTTCGTCTCCCATCCCAGGTCCCCGCCAGCCCCCTCAGCGCCCCCAACGCCTCCAATCCCCAGGGCCCCGCCCCCCTCAGGGCCCCGCCCCCCCCCTCCCCGCTTCCAGGGCCATGCCCATTCTGGCATTACCTCCTGCAGTCGCAGCACCTCCGCCTCCAGCGCCTTGAGGCGCTTCTCATTCTCCCGGTTCTGGGTAAAGATTTCCTCCCGGGAGCTGCGCGACTCTTCCACCTCCCGCCACAGCTCCTTCATCTGGGCCTGGGCGGAATGAAGCAAGTGAGCGGGTGCAGCCTGATCGTGCCTCACAGGGAAGCCCCTCCCCTTGCCTGAGCCCTGCGGGGACTTCCCAGCTCCCCGAGAGCAAGCAAAGCCCTGCAGCCCGCCCCAGCCCCTGGCTCTGTGACCTTGGACCAGCCCCTCCCGCTCTCTGGGCTTCGGCTACCTCCAATTTAAAAAAAGTAATACCTTAAAACTAAAATAAGCGTGAAATGGGTGTAGTATTTGGACTCTGCAGTAATAATAATGCTGGCGCACACTTACTGAACATTTACCGTGGGCCAGGCTCTGTTATATACACGTACTGACTCCCTTCATCCTCACAACTCCAGCTGGTGGGGACTAGTTTCCTCCCCAGTGTAGACATGGAACAACTGAGGCACAGAAAGGCTCAGCAACGAGCCAAGTGTGCTAAATGGCAGAGTCAGGACTTGAACCCAGGCCAGCTGGCCCCAGGGTTTCCACTTCTAGTCACTTTGCTATGCGGCCACACCACTGAGTGTGTAAAGAAGTCAGCGTAAGACTTTTCAATGGCGCTTAAAGAAAAATAAAACACAAACTTGATGCCTATCACCATTAAAAAAAACTCTGTAGAGAGGTCAGTGAGGACAGTACTGGGCTTGGTACTAGCAGGACAATCATCATCGCGGTTATGAATATTATTACTTGCTTGATAATAACAGCTTTTCAGTGCAGGCGCCTTCTCTCAGGGGTGACGTATGGGAAATTTTTACTTTTTGGAGAGGGACCTTTCTGTCCTAGCGCTGCCCAATGGGGAGATATTGCAAGGACATGTGTTGTTTTACATTTTCAAGTAGCCCCATTAGAAAGGTAAAAAGAAATGGGTGAAAGTAGTTTGAACAGTGTATTTTTATTTAGCCTGACATATACAAAATGTTATTATTTCCATTTATAATCACTATAAAGGTTATTGAGATATTTTACTTTTTTTTTTTTTTGGTCATAAGTCTTCAGAATCCAGCATGTAATTTGGATTTCAGCCCCACCAAACCTTAGATGCCCAACAGCCACATGGGGCTGGTACCCACTGTATCGGACAGTCCAGTTCTATACTTTTTTATTTAAAAAAAAATTAAGACTTTACACGGACACATTATTATCACCAAAAAAAATTTTTTTTTAAGTAATCGCTACTCCTAACCTGGGGCTCGAACTCATGACCCCGAGATCAAGAGTCGCATGCTCCACCGACTGAGCCAGCCAGGCAACCCCCCTCCCAATCTTTTTTAAACAACCAGATGTAACTTTGATATTAGGGGAGGAACCCTAAGGCATTTACGTTTCAAAAATTAAACAGAATGAAGAAACTGGACTTTAGACTAAGCATTTTAAGTAAAGGAAATAAAAAATATAAAAAGCGAGTGAACCTTTGGCACTTGGACGTTTACAGAGCAGCAGCTCGCGCGGTCGAAGGGGCCGACTCGCAGGAGGCTTAAGCCCCACCCCTACCTGCATCTTGCGGAGCTGCTTCACCGCCTCCTCCTTGCCCTGCGCGGCGGCCGAGTTCCGGGCTCTCAAGTCCTCCAGCTCCGCCTCCAGCTTCTGGCGGGCGGCCACGGCCAGGGCGCGCTGCTTGCGCTCCTCGTCCCGATCCACCTCCGCATCCCTCAGCTGCGGGGAGGCCGGGAGGGGCGGGCTCAGGGGGCGGGAGGCCCAGGCTCCCTCTACATGCTAGTGACCTGGCCGTGCACCCGCCAGCCCCTGTCCAGGCCACCAGCGCCTTTCCTCCTGCTTCTCTACACCCGATCATTGCACCTTCCTCTTGCTTCTCTACACCCCAAACGGATCCCGGATCCTCGTCCCCAAAGCCCCAGGCTCTTAACCTTCCGAAGCCCCCTTTACTCCAGCCCCTGCTCTGCTCGCATGGGTGCCCTCCAGCCCATTCCCGCACAGCTCCAGAGGCTCCTTGTACACTCACGGCTGCCCTGCCCCTCCCATGCTCAGCACCCAGCTCGAGCCGGCGGCAGAGCACCTGAAGTCCCCCCACTGGAGAGTCATGAATGGATGTTGCCAACCACAGGGAGAGGGGAATGAGTAAATGAACAAGGGAGGAAGGCTGTGGATGAAGGGGTGTAGAGGAGCTGGTCCTTGAGCAATGGAGGAGGGCTTGGGCAGGCTGGGGGGAGTGGGGGGGGGGCCTGGGAGTTGGGGAGAGAAAGTTTCTGGAAAGGGGGTAGCTGGGCGGATGGAGGAGAAGCTGGATTAAAGCGTTGGTTCGTGGAGAGGTTGTGTGTGGGTGGGGGGCTGTGTGGGTACCCAGGTAGATGCTGGGTGAATGGTCTGGTGATGATGTCCGATAGGGTATGTCAGTCTGTCAATGGGACATGCCCGTGGATTCACGGGTGATGCTGGCTGAATGGGCTGGGGAGCAGGAGGGCCCTGGGAAGCAACACTGAGCAGCAGGTAGGTGAGTGAGACTTTCTTGGCCCCTCTTTTAGCCTGAAGGCAGCAGAGCCCTCCCAGCCGGATGGGCGCCCTCCAGCCTCCAGCCAGGTCTGTGGGTACCTGCTTGGCCAGCTGCCGCCGCCTCTCCTCGCCAGCCTCATCTCGGCTCTGCAGGTCACGCTCGTGCTGTGCCTTGAGAGCCTGCAGGGTCACTTCCAAGCGCAGCTTGGCGTCCTCGGCTGCCGTCAGCTCGTCCTCCAGCTCCGTCACCTGCGCTTGCAGGTCGCTGGCTATCTGTTCTGCCGCCCGGCGGGATCGCTCCTGCTCATGCGCCTGGAGGGGAGGCGAGGGTGAGCTCTGGGCTCCTGGGGCACAGGGAGGGGGAGGCCAGGATCCTAGATCTAACCTAGGACAGTGTGAGGGAAGCTTTGATGGTCAAGGTGATGTGCACATTCTGGTTTGCTCATTCATTCACCATCTCCCGGGCAGCTAGTTACTAGGTGTCTCATTCTGAATCATCCTAAAACATTTCATTAATAACCTCTGCGTGCAAGTTCTGTTATCCGTAGCCCTTGAGATCCAGTGTTTGTTAGGCCAGCTCTCACTCACGGTGGATTATTTCCTTGTGGGTTTTGAGATTTTGCATCGTGAGCTCACTTCACTAAGGGGCTTCAGGTTTGGGAACATCCTGTGTGGACATGCGTTGAAGGGATGTTGCCCCAGACTCGAGTGTTGATTTGTGCTGGACCCCCCAGGATAGCGCCATCCCACTATCTCCTGCGATTTTTTTCCTCAGCCCTTCCAGGGAGTTGTAAATTAAAATCCCAAACACCCTGTGAAGGCAGATCTGGGCTTATAAATTCTGAGGCACCCACCTCCCCCATCATGCCTCTCCTTTAACTGTCACCTTCTAAAACAGTGTTCCTTGGCCTGTCGGGGCCTGTTACCCATGCCGCTGGCCCTGAGCCCCTCCCCAACCCAGCCTTAGTCACAATGGTTATTTAACATGAGCTTATGTGTCTTTTTATGCAACGCCCACCCCCACACTGCACTGTGAGCTCCACAGGGGCAGAGGGACCCTATCTACCTGTCACTACTGCCCAAAGAACCTCATGGAAATTCTCATCAGGGACAGGGTCTACTTTCTGCCCTCAGAAGAGGCCAACAGGTTTCCCCTCCTATTTGGCACCTGCCAATCAGTTTTATTTGCTGGAAGGAATTCAACTTTCTCCCATCAACATCCTATTTCCCACAAAGTAGGCCTTTGGAGTCACCATGTATAACTTGGCCGTTTTCCCAAAGGAGAGACCTTAGTAGTCTGAGTGTGAGCTGGACTTTGGCTCTAGAGTGCCTGGGGCTGCAGGCCAAGGTATGTCATGGGGCTTAGGGGTTCTCTCCAGGCTTGGCTAAAAGCTCCATCAGATCTACACTGGAGCGTGTGGAGAAGATAAAGTCCTTATCCATTGTACCCATGGGAGGACGTCGTTGGCACTCAGGAAGGACATCAGGAGTGTGTCTGCCCAGGGCCTGACTGAACCACGTCTTCTGTCAGTGCCTCCCCTCACCAGTCAGGGGGCTGGTGTCCCTGGGCCTGTCCTTGATGCTGCTCCAAAAGTACATTTGTCGGACAAACTGAGGAAGGATGGAATGGAGGGTATGACGGACCTTTCAGAAGGCTGGGATGCTGGCTGGGTGAGTGGGGACTGGGGATAGGCCTAGGGGACTCCTCACTGGCCCTGGGGGGGGCCTGTATGTGCTAGGTAGGTTTGGGGGTGGCAAGGTGGGCTGTCTTCACACTGGGTATGTGGTGTGTGTGAGGGGATGTACGTGTGTGTGCAGGGTGTGTGTGCGGATATATGTGTGTGTGGTGTGTGTAGTGTGTGTGAGGGGACGTGTGTGTGTGTGCGGTGTGTGTGAGGGGATGTGTGTGGTGTGTATGAGGGGATGTATGTGTGTGTGTGCGGTGTGTGCAGTGTGTGAGGTGATTGTGTGTGGTGTGTGCAAGGGGATGTGTGTGTGGTGTATGTGGTGTGTGAGGGGATGTGTGTGCAGTGTGCGTGTGGTGTGTGAGGGGATATATGTGTATGTGGTGTGTGCGAAGGGATGTATGTGTGTGTGCGGTGTGTGGTGTGAGGGGATGTATGTGTGCGGTGTGTGCATGGTGTGTGTGAGGGGATATATCTGTGTGGTGTGTGTGGTGTGTGCGAGGGGATTTTTGTGTATGTGGTGTGTGCGAGGGGATGTATGTGCGTGTGCGGTGTGTGCATGGTGTGAGGGGATGTGTGTGTGGTGTGAGGGAATGTGTGTGTGTGGTGTGTGTGAAGGGATGTGTGTGGTGTGTATGAGGGGATGTATGTGTGTGTGTGGTGTGTGTGGTGTGTGTGAGGGGATGTATGTGTGTGGTGTGTGTG